ACAGCGCCTCCTGCTGGCAGAGAATGAGTTTGCATATATATGCCGCCTGGGAAACACTGGACTACGGTATAAATAAATTCAACTGTATAACAGTCACTGCAATTCATGTTATAATGTTAGAATTAAATAACAACAAAAATAATACATATGCACTTATCTGTACGTAGTAAATGCAGTTATTTTTAAGCAGTTGTTGACATCCTATCTAAAACGTGATTTAGCCAAAAAAACCAACAACAACAATAACGTTACCAGTCTAATATGTCTTGAAATATCCGTGCGTGCAAAGGTTCTGCGCGATCCTCTTGTTCAATATTCTCTGGGTCTGAATCCGGCTCAAATCGATATGGCAATATTGACGCCATCCTTAACTAAACAGAGCAGACAGAACTTGCTGCTTTGGCAAGGGGCGGGGCAGTACTGAAACACCGTCTAAGCTGTTCGCCAATCACAATGCTCGGAGACAGCTAACCAATCACAGCACATTTCGTTTTTCGGAAGGCGGGCCTTCATCAAACCCAGAACTAATCGAGCCGTTTGTGCCAGGCTGGGGAGAAAGGTATTGTAATAATGTAAATTATGTAAAAAAATAATGCGTTTTTCGAACCACCAAGCATGAGAGCATGTTCTAGTACACCCCAAAACAAATTCAAGACATTGTAAAAGAGCATAATAGGACCCCTTTAAATAAACTCTTGTCTTAGTTGTCTTGCGGCGCTTTTCTGTGTCAATTAGGACTTTTGGCATTACATGAATGACTTCTAGGAATTTAGTTTCATTAAAGAAAATTCTTAGAATTTGTTCTTAAGAATGTAGCGCCAGTGTTCCCTCCTGTAATTTGCCCTTTGACCCCTGATGTTTAACCCGATGCCCTCCTCTCTGCGGCAGGCGTGTTGTTCGTCTGCATCAAACTTGCAGCGCTGTGTGTTTTGCGGGTTTTGACAGCTCTGGAATGCAGGAATCACCTCTTCCAGGAACATCTGTGAGAAAAGTGCATTGCAGATGTCTGATTGATAAATGGCGCATGCGTGTCAAATGTTTATGCAAAAATGACAAATGTACAGTTCACAAAACACACAGAGGTGAGAAGGGCCAATGTGGATGAGGGATATTGTTGGATACTAAATCTAAAACAAAATAAAATAGTTTTTCATTTCCATTTGGGAGATCCTTTTATCCAAAATGACTTTAAGTGCATTAAAGGAATGTGCTTAATCTTTGTGTTTACCCTGGGAATCGAACCCATGACCTGGTGTTGCTCACGCAGTTGAGCTCATAAACAAGAATTAAATAATGATTGCAAACTAAATGCCATGGCATAGCTATCAGTTGAGCTTGCAAACTGAAATAAGCAGAAATGAATTAATTAACGCAAAGTAATTGGAAAATCTAAATCTAATCTTGACTGATTTGACAGGGGATGGGATTGTGCACAGAGCGCATGAAGAACATTATGAGAAAGGTGCACGAAGTGCTTCGTATTAATGGATGGGGTAAAAAAAAAAAGTCTGATTCAGAGTCCAAGGATATTGTGCAAATTTGGTTTCCCCTTGCTTTTCTAAAATCTCTTAAGTTCAGCAGACTAATTTGTGAAGATTTCTGGAAATTTTATTTTGCTCTTCATGTTATTACTTAAAGTCTGTACATTGTTTTCTGTGTTGAAGTATATTACTTTTCAATGTGTCAGTGCTACAATCCATTACATTTCGACATATAAAATAGTCATGATTTACAGTTCTGTTTGTTGGTGTTATTGGCATAGAAATTACATTACTTTTATCTAATTCCTAAAACAGGAATATAAATCCGAAATAGAAATGTTGAACAAAAGCTAAAATTTACTTAATCCAAGCTGAAATTTAATGTACTCTATTGTTTTGTCAGCTAGGATACATTCATTTGATCAAAACTGTCAGTAAAGACATTTATAAAGTTACAAAAGAGCTCTGTTTCAAATAAAAGCTCTTAAACTTTCTGTTCATTGAAGAATCTGGGGGGGAAAATCAACTCCATAGAAATGTTAAGTGAACACGAGTAATGATGCTGAAAATTCATCTTTGCATCACAGGAATAAATTGCATTTTAAAATATATTTAAATAGAAAAGAGTTATTTGTAATTGTAACTGTTTTTACTGTAATTTTGATCAAATAAATGCAGCCTTGGTGAGCAGAAGAAACATCTTTCAAAAACATTCAAGCTTACCAACCCCAAACGTTTGAACAGTAGTGATATTGAAATACAAGCTTTAGGAAAGCAGATCTGCAATCATCTTGGTGTGTGCAGATGGAGTCATGTTGTTTTTGTGTTTTGATGTGAAATGCTAAAGGGAACATTTTTGCTGATGTTCGTGCCGGCTTTCCAAATCAGATCCTGCAGCCCGTAACCCTCATATGACCGAATGCCAACTTTGAAGTACCAAACATGAGTACCAGACATGTTTTGTTTGTTTCATTCTCTTTGTGTCTCTTTCGTTCACAGGAATGGTCTTGGGCCGTCTAAGGAGGGGGAGGCGCAGTACTCCGTTGTGCACTGTACCGGCTACATCAAGGCCTGGCCACCAGCGGGTACTTACACAAACACAGTCGGTTCAAAGCCACTGAATCAGAGAGAAACATACAAATATACAAACAAATACTCAGAAGTGGACCAGTGTTGGGGAGTGAGTAAATAAAAGTTGATCTAAGACTAGTTTGTTCAGAAGGTACATGCAAATGAACTGTTTCCAAAAAAACATTCACTGAGTCATTCGCATCTCTGCATGCACTTTTGTTGTTAAATGCAACTTAATATCTTAATCAGGAGCAGCAGCATGTGTTTCGGTCAACATAAAAACTTTGATTTACAATCTGAAGCCTCACTTAACGCAATGAACATGTTTAATCTTCTTAAACACAAACAAATGCACAGAAGTGTACCAGTATTGAACTAACAAAAAGAAACCATTCAGTGAACCATGAAGTGAACTGTTTACAAAAAAAGATTCACCGAATCATTTGCATTTCTGCATTTTGATGTTAAATGTAAAAAAAAAAGAAAGGAAATAGGTGTAGAAACAACTTTCACTAAGGAATTGCTAGTAAAATTAAAAACTATTACAAAGAAACACGGAATTAAACATGACATTTTGAAGTAGAAAAACTGAAATGGTAATTTAAATGGTACTACAATAATTATTTTTATTTGCAACTTCAAAAATCTTTTTTTATGCACTTAACAATAAGGTCCTATTACGTAACATCAGTGTATTAATGAACAATGAGCAACGCATTTTTACAGTATATAATAATCTTTGTTAATTAGTTATTAGTACAAATTCTTTATTGTTTATTAAGGTTTATGTTTTTAGTTCATGCTAATATGTTATTAAATGCAATAATGTATTAGCAAGTGGAACTTGTTATTGTTATTGATACATGTAAATTAGCTGGTTCCAAAAAAGATTCATTGAATCATTTGAATCACTGCATGTGATTTTGATGCTAAATGTAACTTAAAGAGAAAAGTTCACCCAAAAACTGTAAATTGTCATCATTTATTTACTCTCATGTTGTTCCAAAGACATTGCATTTTGGTTAACCTTTGAAACACAAATTGAGACATTCTCAATGTCTGAGGATTGGAAAGTTGAGGTCACCCAAACTTTAAAAGATCTGAAAAAATTAAAAAGGCACCATAAAACGAATCCATGTGAATCAAGTGATTTAATCCAAGTCTTGTGAACAGATACAATCACTTAATATGATGAACAGATTTAATGTATAAACACATATACACTATGTGGTGAAGACATATGGTAAACACTAGGGATGCACGATACCACTTTTTCCAGTACTCGCCCGATACCGATACTTTTATTTTTGGTACTTGCCGATACCGAGTACCGATACCAATATTTTCATTGCATTTGTAAATTTTTAAACACCAAAGCTCATCCATGCGTCCTGTGCTCGTTGATTCTGGACCTCAGGCTTCATTAAAATCTTAATTTGTGTTTCAAAGACTAACCAACATTTTATGGGTTTTGAGCATTATGACAGTGATTAAATATCGACAGTTTTCATTTTTGGGTGAATTATCCCTTTAACTTACATTCAGCATCAACATGTACTGATGCAAATGATTCAGAGGAACCAGTTAATTTTTTCTATCAGTAACTTTTTACAACAAGGTTCCACTTGTTGATATTAATTTATTTTTTTTACTCTGTATCTGAGTAAAAATAAAGAGTAGCAACATTATGGATGCATTTTGCTTAATGTAACCTTCAACTTGCATTCTGAAGTCTAATGGAACTAGTTGTTTGGAACATGTGTTTGAACTTCTTGAACTACCAGAACTCTGGAATTCGGTGTTAAATTCCGTTAGAATCCTTCAGTCCGCAGAACTGTCTGGAGTTTTGGATGACTCCCATATGACACCGGCACGCTAGATCCCCCCCGGCCTGTGATTCCTATTAGCACAACAGCATGTGTGCAGTGAGAAAGGAAGAAATGGACAGAGAATTGAGCAACCCTGAACTCAAAAACCTGAACTTTTAGCCTCATATCTTTACTGGAGGTTGTCCAGGTATCCTCCGAGCGCATCTCCAACATATGTGTGCGTCGTAAAAATTAATCGCACATGCTGGACATCCTGTTTGTTGCATAATGGTGCAAAGTAAGGATAAAAATAACCAGCAACGCTTGATTGTCAGCCATTATGGTGTCATACTGGAATGCGGTGATCTAAAAGACATCTCGTATCGTTTTCATCACGCTGAATGGTAATCAGTGCATTAACGGTTAGGAAGCGCTCTGGCCACACCAGATGGCCCTGATATGCATTATCGATCAGTTTCATAGCGTTTGCAAAACAAACACAAGTCTTTGTGCTCTTTATTACTTTGATATGCGACCAAATGAATTCTGTCTGCTTGTATAATGTCAGTTTGTGCCAATTAAAGGCAGTAAATCGTAAAAATTAATCGCACATGCTGGACATCCTGTTTGTTGCATAATGGCGCAAAGTAAGGATAAAAATAACCAGCAACGCTTGATTGTCAGCCATTATGGTGTCATACTGGAATGCGGTGATCTAAACGAAGACATCTCGTATCGTTTTCATCACGCTGAATGGTAATCAGTGCATTAACGGTTAGGAAGCGCTCTGGCCACACCAGATGGCCCTGATATGCATTATCGATCAGTTTCATAGCGTTTGCAAAACAAAAACAAGTCTTTGTGCTCTTTATTACTTTGATATGCGACCAAATGAATTCTGTCTGCTTGTATAATGTCAGTTTGTGCCAATTAAAGGCAGTAAATTAATTCAAACCATCGGTGCATCTGTCCGTAGTATACAGCCTGTTTGCAGAGAAGTTTTTTTCCCCTGAATGTGTCATTTATGCCGTGATATATATACCGTTCCTGTTTATTTGTAGCACAGAGTCATTAGTTTTGCGAAGTAGTGTTCCCTGCACAGCCATGCGCCGCTGATGAATTGAGTTGTATTTTACTTGAGGTGACAGTTTGCAGTGTGAACGTGGGAACAGACCATGAAATAATGACAATGAGACAATAAATTGACCAGATGTCTCTCTATTCTGTATTTATATTATTCTGTACTACGTATATTTGCTGGATGTATGAAAAGAAATATACAGAACGACAAGTGTTGAGTCTTATGAAGCGATTCTTTAAATGAATTGGTCAAAAAGACTAAAAAGTTACTGGTTTGAATCAGTTTAACCTTGAGAAGTCAGTCTGCAATAGAGTGAAAGAGTTTTTCAGTGGCCTTGTTTCCGGGTGTATTTTTCTCATTCATTTTTCCCATAGGGCTTTATAAAAACATCTTTGTTAAATAGGTATGAACCAAACCAACCATTTACTAGGTGAATAGCAACATTATAAACCTTGAATTGAAGCAAAAAAAGTATTCAAAAACCAGACAAAAAGATAAAGGTACAAGACTGTATACAAGCTTTCATAAAGGAAGGGAAAGAACTACAATCCCATGAAGCATTGTGAATGACATCGATAGAAATGATGGAAAAATATAAAATCTATTAATTTAAAAATGTTGATTTTATATATAGGGAATCAATATATTTTATGTTAATGCAAAATAAGTAGTTTGAGGGAATAGGAAAAAGTGTTCTTTTGGCGTGTTTTGCTTGACACAGTTCTTTGATTGGTGGAGATATCGCTGCAGAATCATGGATAATGTAGTTTTTCACCAGGAATGCAGCTGTTACACATGATTCTGTAAATAAGTTGAAATGATGTGGGCTGATGGCTTCAATAAAAGCATAAACTATCAATTAACAATGTCTGAGATCAGAGTAGGTCTGTTTTTAAAAGTTATCTTTCAAAATAAATTCCTCTATGGAGAAAATGAATAGGATATTTTACTTCTGGGACTGTTGCACTTTATTGGCTGAGCAAGCTAATAGCCCCACCCCTCACTCACATGATTGGTTGAACCAATTTTTTTTGTATTGTAAAACATATTTTAAGGATAATGTAAGTTGAAAATAACGTAATCTAATATGAAAAATTAATAATAAAAACAATTCTGTTGAAAACAGATACAGCTTTTTATAGCAGTTCTTATAAATTGTGAGAGTCTAGTATTTCTTTTATTTTCTATTTCTCATTTGTTTTTTCTCTTCTTTGAGTCATTCACAAAGATCATTGTATGCTGAAAAGCTTTTTAGCCGCCAACCATAATGAGGTCAAGGCAAAGAAGGAAGTGTGTCAACAAGAAATCGTTAATGTAATTAAAAAGAGAGTAAACGCTTCATGTTCCTGCTTAAACTCCAGGACAGGAATCGCTCCTCCGCCCTGATTCCCATCTGCCTGACTTCATGTCCCGTATACTCCACATAAACACGGCACGACAACGTCCAGGAACAATAACCGCTTTGCTACTGGTTTTAAACGACTAAAATAAATCATTATGCATGAACAAACTCCTGATGAGTCAGGGAGACGTGGACAAAAATATTGAGAAGATGCTATTAGTGGGATCGAAAGCACATTTTTGCGCAAAGATTCCCAAACAGGTCTTTGTGTACTGTTGCAACAGAGCGTCTCATTAGAAAATGATGTAGGAATAAACATGTTAGTCATCGGGATCTCCACATGTTTTCAGTCTGCTGTTCGGACAAATGACTGTTCTTGTGTCTTTTCCAGGCATGACCATTCCGGATGAAGACACGGAAGCAGGTCAAACCAGCAAATACTGCTTGGTTGCGATTGGAAGACTGCAGGTATGTCTGGATCTCTGATGTATATGGCAACAAAATTAGCAACTGCATGACAACATGCTTGCAACTCCCTGGAACATTATAGCAACTGTATAGTAACATTTGAGCAACCAAGCAGAACACCATAGCAATTTTCAAGAAAACCCTAGCTACCACATAGCAACATTCTAACAACTAGAAAATCCTAGTAACCTTATGGTTACATTCTAACATCTAGAACACCTTAGAAACTGCATGGCAACATTCTAACAGCTAGAGCACCCTAGCAACTTCATGGCAACATTCTAACAACTAGAACACCTTAGCAACTGCATGGCAACATTCTAACAACTTAAACGCCTTAGCAACTGCATGGCTACATTCTAACAACTAGAACACCCTAGCAACTGCATGGCTACATTTGAACGACTAGAACACCTTAGAAACTGCATGGCAACATTCTAACAGCTAGAGCACCCTAGCAACTTCATGGCAACAACATTCTACCAACTAGAACACCTTAGAAACTACATGGCAACATTCTAACAGCTAGAGCACCCTAGCAACTTCATGGCAACATTCTAAAAACTAGAACACCTTAGCAACTGCATGGCAACATTCTAACAGCTAGAGCACCCTAGCAACTTCATGGCAACATTCTAAAAACTAGAACACCTTAGCAACTGCATGGCAACATTCTAACAGCTAGAGCACCCTAGCAACTTCATGGCAACATTCTAAAAACTAGAACACCTTAGCAACCGCATGGCAATATTCTAACAACTATAACACCCTAGCAACTGCGTGGTAACATTCTACCAACTGTCTTTTTTACTTAAAAAAACACCCTAGTAACCGCATGGCAACATTCTGACAACTAGAACACCCTAGCAACTGCATGGCAATATTCTAACAACGAAACACCTTAGTAACCACATGGCAACATTATAACAATGAAACACCCTAGTAACCGCATGGCAATATTCTAACTACTAGAACACCTTAGCAACTGCATGGCAACATTCTAACAACTATAACAACCTAGCAACTGCATGGCAACATTCTAGCAGCTATCTTTTTTTTTTACTTAAAAAAACACCATAGTTACTGCATTTTAACAACTTAGCAACCGCATGACAAAACACCCTAGTAACCGCATGGCAACATTCTAAAAAAAAATTTTTTTTAAATTTACTTAAAAATCACCCTAGTAATGGCAGCATTCTAACAACTAGAACACCCTAGCAACTGCATGGCAACATTCTAACAACTACAACGCCTTAGAAACCACATGGCAACATTCTAACAACTAAAACACCTTAGCAACCACACAGCAACAGGCTAGTAACCATTCAGAACACCCTAGCAACTGCATAGCAACATATTAGTAAGCTTCCTCAACACCCTAGTGGACATAACGTTAAAACCACTGCATAGCAACCTCCTAGCAAGAACCTACATCTCCTGGAGTTGTTGTGCACATGCAGGCAAACTCTGGACAGAATATGTATTAGGATATGTTGAACCTGTCCTTTACCTTAACTTATTCATATTTCTTGTCACATATTTCTGGGAACTTAATTCATCTATCATTATAAAAAAGTACCTTGTCAGCTCTCGAATAACAAACTCACTGCAGAAACTATTACAACTTCTGCAACTTTTGGATGCTTAATGTTTCAAAATGTGTCTAGTTCATGTCTTTTTGATATGTCTAGTATTTAAATGTGATTTTTATTCAATAAATACATTCCCACATCTTAATGTGCATAGACCGTTGTAACTAATTCTTCCACAATCCCATGATAGCGCGGCACTACAAAACATGCATCTATTTGTTTGAGCATCCTGACCATCTGTTTGTGTAAAAATCCCTTTATCTCGTCTCTCAGGTGACCAGCTCACCAGTTTCCATGGATATGAACGGACTCTCTGTGCCGACGGAGTTCCTTTCCCGCCACAACTCAGATGGCATCATCACGTTTGTGGACCCTCGTTGCATCAACGTGATTGGCTATCAACCTCAGGTCAGTTTCACTGAATGTGCAGCTTTATATTAAATGTGTTATATGTAATTTTTTTAACTGTACTACAGCATAAAATTTCCATAATATGTTTGCAGATATTTAGGAAACATGCTAAGTTCACAAACGTGTTTCTTCGAAAAACAATGCTACAGACAGTTATTCTACTTTGAAATGTTCATTCCATGTCGGAATGTCTGTTTTTGTTTTTGTCTGTGTGATTCCACTGCCAATTTAACCAATAGTATTTCGACACCCCGGGTTGCCAGTTGTCAGAAAACACAGCATATTGCAGCCATGGAAATGAACTGGGTCAGAAATTGCGACGAAAAAAGCCTCAGCATCCACTTAAAGATCTCTATGATAGATCGCAGATAGATCAACTCATCAGCTTACAGTGAAAGGCTTGTCGCCTTCCGTTGTCAGTTGCTCTCATTCCTGTTGCGTGTCCTCAATCTGGCAACCCATTTGAGCCTCGAGTCTGAGGAGGAGGGGTGGGAGAAACAGTTCTCTCCAATATTTTGTGTTTAGACTGCAGTATCCATTTCTACCGACATCTGTCAATATTACGTACTTCACCTTTAATGCACAGTAGCTAAAACAATGTATTGATGATATATATGCCCTGTTTGTTTAGTTCAGATATGACTTCAATCACAGATTCATGACAAGTCAGGCAGGCTGTTTTCTGAATAATAGAGAATATGGAGGTTTATTCTTGAAATAGTCAACATTTTCCAGTTATTATTCATTATGACCCTGATGCTGTCTGTGCTCTGTTTAACAAGTACAAAGAGTTTGTATGAATCAAGCATTCATATGACTGTTCCTTTTCTTGGGTTTGAACAGGATCTTCTTGGCAAAGACATTTTGGAGTTCTGCCACCCGGAGGACCAGAGCCACCTGCGAGAGAGCTTCCAACAGGTACACCAACAAAAGCAAACCCAACCACCAGGACTGATCCAGTCCTACACACATTCATCAGCACCGTGATCCTGTAGAAAAGAAACATCATAAATGAGATCTCTCTATGTTCTTTTCAAGAAGAAATAAGGGCTAATTGAGTCTACTAGGGCTGGATTCACGAAACATTCTTAAGAATGATATTCTTCTTTTATAAATTAAGAATCATCATATAATCAGATGATGCCATTTTCTTCTTAATAAGATTTTTAAGGAAATATTTGAGAACTTACAGTATCGTAGGCTAATCACATCGGCCTCAATTATGGAGATGCACATCCCGAAAATAAATGCAACAATTCCTGTCGAGCTAGTCATGGCAAAAATAATGTGCACACGTATTGTTATTTGTATTGTAATGTGCAGGCAGTGCAAAATGTCAGCATTTGAAGTGATCAGTGAATTTTCATCAAAAATCGCCATATAGTCAGGCTATTTTTCAAGAATTTTTGAAGAGAATAATTGGGAATATGTGTACGAACTTCCTACAACTTTTTAATAAATGTAGCATAATAAAGACGAAGCACAAATGAATGCAACAGACAGATTCTTTAAAAATAACCATTAAAAATTGCAGTGCATTAGAACATGCAACGTCATGTACAGTGCCTTGCGAAAGTATTCATACCCCATTCATTTTTTCACATTTTGTTATGTTGCTGCCTTATGTTAAACTGCTTTCAATTAATCAATCTACACTCCATACACCATACTGACAAAGCAAAAACAGAATTGTCACTACTTCGTAAATGTATTAAAAACTGAAATAAGTACATTGCTAAATAAACAACTAAATATTTCGTTGAAGCACCTTTACAGTCTCAAGTCTTTTTTTGTTTAATGCGACATGGCTGGGCCACTCAATGACATTCACAGAGTTGTCTATAAGCCACTCTTGCTGTGTGCTTACGGTCATTGTCCTGTTTGGAAGGTGAACCTTCTGCCCAGTCTGCGGTTCTGAATGCTCTGGACTGGGTTTTCATTAAGGCTAACTCAATATTGTTTATATTTATTGTGTTTAAACATATCTGTGTATTACGGTACTGTGTAAAAAAAAAAAAGAATTGCAATGCTGAAAAAGCATTTTCAGTGACAATGTTTAAATTTGAAATCAACATAATGGATAAATGTTGTGTTTGTGGTAAACAGCCAAGGATCAGTAGCAAACTTCTGTGTGAAAGCACAGTCCGTGCTGCTTCCCCTCTCACAAGAGTCACCTAGAGAAAAAATGAAATTCAGACCCTGAATAAATGTCTTAAAATCCTGATTGGTGTATCACTATAAATAGTTATAAATGATTTTAAAAGATCGGTATCGGTATCGGCAGACACTGCTTTCTGTGATCGGTGATCGGCCTCAAAAACCCTGATCGGAGCACCCCTATATATGATCATGGAGCTCAACTAGAGTGACCATCATGGTCTTGGTCACCACTCTAACCAAGACCCTTTTCCATCAAGTGCCTAACAATAAATGAATAAATTAACGTGTGTTCACCAGAGCGTTTTTAGCCTGCTGACATAATGCCTGGTGCTCTTCTGAAAACGACCAGCTGGTGGTGCTTGAGAGAGCTTTGGAGGCATTGCATTTTTCTGGAGTGACGCGTTGTTTGCTATGATTTGGAATATTCACAGCAGTAACATGTTAAGAGTATCTTATTTCGAAGAATATTACTGAGTATAAAAATGCAGTAACCAGCAATATTAACTTCTCCATTGTTGTGTTGTACAAGTATGATCATGGTTGGTCAATGTAATATTTGTCCCGCCCCTCCTCCACTGTGATTGGACGGCTGTGTAAAAAGGAACAGTGACGAGCTCTGCGTTTTACTCAAAGAGTAAAAAACGGAAAAAAAAGACAGGGCAAATGAACTCGTTAAATATCATTCTAATACATAGTTCATAAAAATGCAGTGTCATCAGTTTGTCTAAAAGAATACAGAACGTTTGAATGTTTTATGCACCATTTACACATGGTAGGAAGCAGGTGTAAATTTCTTTCGTACCAGCTAACTAACATTTTCTACAAACATTTTCATGAATCCGAAAATTTACATCAGAACGACTTTCCGAATGATTTACACAAAAAAATCGTTCTGCTCGTGTTATATGAATGAGGCCCATTGAGTTGATCGGCAAGACTTTAACTTCTTTCTTTAAGAAGACATTAATCCGGCCCATGATTCTCCGATTTCCTGAGAAAAACACTCCAGTAATCTCCCATGCATCTCCTAGAGCAGGGTTCCTCAAATCTTGCCCTGGAGGGCCAATGCGCTGCAGAGTTTAGCTCCAACCCTGATCAAACTCACCTACCTGTGATTTTCTAATGATCCCGAAGACATTGATTAGCATGCTCAGGTGTGTTTGATTAGGGTTAGACCTAAACTCTGCAGGAAAGTGGATCTCGTGGGCCAGATTTGAGGATCCCTGTCCTAGAGTTTCAAGAGATCTCAAACTGTGCTCAGATTCGCCAAGTCTGCATCATAAACCATATATCTCAATATGAACTCGAGCATTTCTCATGAAGTTCCCCCAAGAGCAATTGATCTGAGCTGGTGACCACATTCATTTTATAGTTCAAGTCTCACTGGATGTCAACTATATTTGTTTCGTCTCAGGAATGTTAGGAGAAACATCTAAGATGACATAGTGAACTCGATAGACTCCAGAGATGTGAAAGAGCAACTCTGGGGTGGCATTATGTGAACGTTGCTTGCCAAGAAAAACAAATTCTTCTCAACTCGCCCCACAATCCTTTGCTTCCCCACTCCAGTCAGTGCTAGGAAGTGAACTTGAGTGCTGTTTGCAAGTCTCCATCGGTTAGTAGGTGATGATTGGCTACCGCTGAGAGTTCGTCGAGTACCTGCTGAGAACGGTGAAGAGTCTTGTGTTTGGACATTTGAAGAGGTTTTCTCTGTTGCAGCTGTTGCTGTTTGTCTTTCAGTTTTTGAATCCCGTTGCCAATTAAACCGCAAGCTGGTGCTCTTCAGAAGTTCTTTTGACTTCCTCCTCTCTCTCTTCCTGTCTCATCACCTCTGTTCCTGCTCTTTACCTCCTCCTATCTCTTTATCTTTGGTCTTTTACAAAAACCTTTTTCTTGTATCCTGCTCTTTATTTTCCTGACGTTCAGTCTTTTTCAGCCCCCTTTCTTTACCCTTAACTTCCTGTCTGGCATTTTGTTTCTTTATTTGTTGTTTTCTGTGTTATGTGTTGCTCATGTTCTATTATAGTGTTTATTCATATTTGTAGATTTTATTTAAATAAATAAATAATAATAAATTTTACATTTTTACATTTTTAGTTTTTGCTCTTCCTGTCAGGTCACTGTTCCTGTTCTTTACCTCATCTATATATCTTTGGTTGTTTACAAAATCTTTCTTTTATCCTGCTTGTTATTGCTCATGCTTTTGGTCTTTTTAAGCCCATTTTTCCTTGTGTTTCCTGGTATTTTTTTTTTCTTTGAATTATTTATATACTATTATAGTGTTTCTTCAGATTTTTTTCTTTTTATATTTTCAATTTTCATTTTAATTTGAGTATTTGTTTTGTCATTTTTACTAGTTTTTAATATTTCTATTTAGCTTTAATTTAAATAGTTTCAGTTTTCAATCTAGTCACTTTATTACTTCGATTTAAACAGATTAGAAACGTTGCATTGGCAATTAAGTTTTTCATCTGATATATTTAATTTCTGCATTATTTCAATTAATGAAAATGGTTTTTAATAGTTTTAGTTTATTATCTTTCTGGAGTTTTGTCTCTTTTTATGTTATTTGTGTACTATTGTAGTGTTTCTTAATGGTTTTAATATTTCATAATTAGATTTTATATGTTTTAATTTTAGTATGTTTGTTAAATTCATTTGCAATTGTTGTTTTTTATTTTTCTATTTAACTTTAATTTTTGTTTCAGTTTCAATTCTAGTAATTTTGCTATTTCAATTTAAACAAAAATATAAATGTTGCCTTGGTAACTAAATACTTCAAACTGACAAGATTTATTTATTTTTTTTACTTTTTTCCCATCTAATATTTATATTTTATTTTATTTCATCTTTATTTCGGTGAGTGAAAATTAATTTTAAAAGTTTTAGTTTTCGCTTCTCCTGTCGCATGACCTCTGTTCCTGCTCTTTACCTCATCCTGTCTCCTTATCTTTGGTCTTTTACAAAAACTCTGTTTTTCTTTTATCCTGCTCTTTATTCCCTGAGCTTTTGCTCTTTTTTGGCCCCTTTGTCTTTGTCTTCAACTTCCCGTCTTGGGGTTTACAGCTATCATCAGTATTCTCTTCACATCCTGATATCCACACACATTTATGCCAACCGTGTATGTGTGTATGTGTGTGTGTGTGTTGGTATTCCACCCTATGGGATGATATTGTGGACACTTGAAGGGTGGGTGCAGTGTTTTTACTCCCTAGATGATCGTGCCCTCTATATTACGTGCTTCGCTTCTTAAAAGCCCCTCAAATCCTCCGCCTCACTTCTCCCGGAAGGCCAAGGTTGAGTGGTCAGGTACGACACAAAGAGATTTGTCAAAGTACTTTCGCCTGTTTCTCTGCGTAGGTCTGTTGACGGCTGATAAAGACCCCTCTGGCTGACATCCAGAAAAGCCTTCAGATAACTGGACGTCTTCGAAAGTCGAGACCACACACACACGTGGCGGTGTCAGATGTGTGTGTGTGTGTTGGTATTCCACCCTATGGGATGATATTGTGGGCACTTGAAGGGTGGGTGCAGTGTTTTTACTCCCTAGATGATCGTGCCCTCTATATTACGTGCTTCGCTTCTTAAAAGCCCCTCAAATCCTCCGCCTCACTTCTCCCGGAAGGCCAAGGTTGAGTGGTCAGGTACGACACAAAGAGATTTGTCAAAGTACTTTCGCCTGTTTCTCTGCGTAGGTCTGTTGACGGCTGATAAAGACCCCTCTGGCTGACATCCAGAAAAGCCTTCAGATAACTGGACGTCTTCGAAAGTCGAGACCACACACACACGTGGCTGTGTCAGCAAACACACACCTGTTTCTGAGTCTTATCTGCATCTTATCTTGTACTTTTGAAGCCAAGTGGAACAAAAGCCGACAATTTATGCGTAGCGAGACATTGAAAGCGTGTTATTCTTGGCCTGTAGTTTCGATACTGAGTCCCGGCAGATGTCAGAGGCTAGAACAATATACATTCACGGGGTTGCTCGAAATCACTCGATGTTGTGGACTACTGGATTCTTACTTGACAGATTCTTTACCGCGTGAAGATGAAGAGACCATTTGTCATAAAAGAATGGAAAAAGAAAACCGTAGAGAGATATAAATCTAAGATCCTGCCCTGATTTCACAATCCAAAATTCTCTGGCTTCCCTAAAGTCAACTTAAACTTTAAATTGACCCTCTAATACATGTTCCTGCTTTTATAATTGAATCTAATCTGATTTAATAACTCACTTTACCATTAAAAAGACTTAATCCCTCTTATTTTTCAGTATCTCACCTTCAACCGCCCAGCTTCATTCACAATCCAATCAATTCCAAATAGATAAATCACAGCCAGGGATGCACAATACTGTATATCAGTGTAACGTCAGTAAAATAGGTGTATTTAAGCCAATAAATTATAGGACTACATTCATTCTAGTTGGCCTGCTGGTTTTAAACACAAATGAAATAAAATGCTTATTCATTAAGATTGTTGTTCTTTGCTATATACATGCATGCATAATTTCTTTATTGCCATAGAAATTAAAACTTTTCTGCAGTTGCACCTGTTGTAAATTAAAAGCAGTTTTTCTCTTTTCATGATGTTTGGGGTCATTTAGAAGCAAACAGATCGCAGTGTTTAATTGAAATCAGGCTGAAATAAAGTATTAATATTAGGTAACACAATATTAGATATGAAATCTAATCTATCTGTCAGAAATTGGAATTGTTGCCTTGGCATATAACTGAAATAAAATAACCTGATGTACTAGAATTACTAAAACATAAATAAAGTTTAATTAAAGTAGAATGTAAATATTTAAGAATCCAAAATCGAATAAAAATGACAAAAGCACATAAAGCAAAAAAAAAAAACTGATATAAAAATAAAAGCTAATTCAACATATTAATAAATACTGTAGTATTATAGAAATAATACTAAAATGACACTGATTGAGATCTGAACTTTAAAGATGAGCATATATTTTTGTTATCAGTCTCACAATGTAGATTGGTATCTGTTATCCGTCAATATATATCAGTTATTGGCTTTAAAATCTAAATAATTATCAGTATTGGCTAAAATTTCTATATTCCTGAGTCCCTAATCAAAGTCATTGAACATTCTGTTTCTCAGAATTACATCAGATTACAGTAAAGTAAAAAAAAAAAAAAAGGTTTGCAGTTTAATCTCATCACAGAATGAAAGGAAAAGATATGATTTACATTGATGTTTCCTAATATATTAAACTCTGTAGCATTCTGAGAGCTTCGAAGACACTGTCAATGAGCTTTTTATCCTTTCTGTGATGTCTAAAAGCAATCGTTAGGGTGTTTTTCTGTTCTCAGCTCCAGTTCAGGTGTTTACCGTTTAACTATGCACACTCAGTTCTCAGTTTCTTACTACCAAGCAGCGAAACATTTCCCTTCATTGACTCTGTTTCCAGCTCATTTTGTGTCAAAGCAGTGCGAGGTGATTCTGTTGAGAGGTGCATTGAAGCCTTGATGCGAGTCGTGTGACTTCAGGTTTGGTTTGAGAAACAATGAACTCTGGGATCTGTTTAAGAAGTTAAAATGTTTGTCTCTTTCTCTCCTGAGATCTTAGGGTCCTTTCTCAAGCCGAAAAGGAAAGTGGCCTCTTGTCGCCAAGAATAATATCCCATATCCTCTCTCCTCTTTCAAAGCAGGATATACATCCAAAAAAGTCAAGTTTCTCTCTCTTTTTCTTTTAACTCACTGTATTTCTATTACTCACTTGAAGTGTGGCTGTCTGTGCTGTTTGTTTAAGAGAGCCATTTTCGTCAGATACTTTATAAGGTTTTTTTGAACTCTCTCGTTGTCTTTCATGCTCTGTTGAGTGGAAAGTTGTTTTGTCTGAACACAGCTTTTTTTTATTTAAAGCAATCTCTGTATTTGGATGGGCAAACACTGCTTTAAGTGACAATAGAGGTGACTGTGTGAAGAGCATGTGGATGGGGTTCAGAATCCAACCTTAGCTCAAAATTACTTGTCACAAAAGACAAATTGAGATCTTGTTCCTCTTACATATTTTTTTTGCATCGTAATGTGAGGAATATTGCTCATGTGTTGCTAGTTCTGAAAGGCAAAAACCCCTATGCATCCTAGAAAAACCAATGATGGTAGGTTTTCCACTGAGCTAAACTTTGTTAGTCATTGACGGTGTCTGTAGTGCATCGTGTTTGATTGTTTTCTGAATTGAATCACTCATGTCACCAGCATCAATGAGGGACAGATTATCATGCTTGCATAAGGCATGTAATATTCCTCATGTTCCTAATTCCTAAAGCCAATTTTTGTTCACATTTGGCGCTCAACGAGCGTTAATTTTGGATCCTAGTGGATCCTAGCTTTGATAATAGGTTTGGTATTTGTGTAGGAACCGATTGGTCATATTTTGCTCATTCTTTCACTGATTACAGTCATTGTTCACTCATGTCAAGCATTAAGATAAAGACCCCAGTAGGGTTGCACCAGCCATTTGTATGTTCTTCCTTAAATAATAAAGTCCACATTAGAGGCTTAATAAATACTAGCTAGTTTGTAACTAACGCTGTACTTAATTAGTTTGCACCATTAGTTATCTAAAAGGCCTTAAGTTCTCCACAAGGTAATATGTAATTGCATAATTTGATGTTTGCCATCATAATCCTATAGAAGCCTTCAAAATTCTTATCAGAAGTGGTTGGAATCCAGTGAATTTCAGTTCTAAAAATGATAGTAATAAAATACCCATGACGTTATTTCATTGTTATTGACATTCAAAAGCATTCAAAAAAGGAGCAGTAAATAAATGCAAAAAAGTGATTCATTTATTATTTTTTTGGTATGTGCACTCTTAAGATCCAGTTTGTGTTGAACAGTTACTATCAAGTCATTTATTTACACAATGTTCTCTCTCATAAAAAGTATAACCTTCATGATATATGTCTAAATGAGCTTATTGATGCAATACAATAAACCTACTGTTTTATTCCAACATATTCTTCTGGACAAAAGCTTCTGTACATATATAGTTTACACATAGAGATTTCAAGTTTAATAATGAAATGCAAACATATTTAGTAGTGGGCAAGTTGTGACGTTACGTCATAACTAGGCTATGCTGTTACTTGTTGGTGCAACTAGACTTCTGTTTTAGTTTTGTTTGTATTTGCTGGTTCTTACAGATTTAAATTTCTACGATGTAAATGCATGTGATGTGAACTCGTGTTCTTCTGTTGTGTTTAGGTGGTCAAGCTGAAAGGGCAGGTTCTCTCAGTCATGTACCGCTTCCGGATGAAGAACCGAGAGTGGATGCTCATCAGAACCAGCAGCTTCACCTTCCAGAACCCTTATTCAGACGAGATCGAGTACATCATCTGCACCAACACCAATGTCAAGTACGTCCAACCTTCTCATTTCATCTCTTTGAAGGCTGTCGGAATAGACTTGTCATTCTTTGTTGAGAATGCAAATATAATGCCGGATGCTGTTGCACCTAAATTAATTTTCAGTTTCGGCCAAAACAGTTTTGGAGGGCCGAAATCATTGACTCTAGCAGTAGCGTAAAATTAGCATTTCTTTCATGGCAAGTTTTGAGTGTGCCCATGTCTATTCTGTGCACACAACGCAGATAAACTCCAACAGATAAACGTGTCAGATGTGTGGTGCTAGTGATAGATTAACAGTATTGATTTCTTGTTTTTAAGAAGACGTCAATAAAGAGCTTGTAAACAATATGTCATGTAATGTTACATTTACCTCAGCAAAATCACATCAACATACATAAACTCAGTATTGAGCTAGAAAAAAAATAACTTTAGAGAAGAGCTTTTTGTTAAACATATGAATTACATTACATACCTTATTAGTTGTCATTATTTAATCTAAGTTTGAATGAATCTGTCATGAAAATTTTTTTTATTACAGCCGCCATTTAAATGTTTATATTTCAACAAATTAGAGTAGAAACATAATCATGTCATTTATATAATTTTATATACTACTCTATATGCGTACATCAAATCCTGCATGGTGGTTGCACACAGTCTAGCCGCAAATGTCTCTCCATTTGAAATAAATGACTTATGATCTGTTGTTTGTTGGAAAAGGTGGATTAAGAGAGCATCTAACTGAAATTAAACCTCATAAGTGACTGATTTGGCAAAATAATTTGATTTGAATCATATGAGAGACTCCTTTTTAGCTTTAGTGTTAGTGTTTCTAAGCTAACAATGCACTATTTTGATATAATTATTGACTAAAGCAATTATTAATTATAATATTATTATTAATTATTAATTTAAGATCCAGAATCAGTTTGAGGAAAAAAAAAACCCTGTGTGAAAATAATATTGAACTTAACGTCATTTATCTGAACAGTGACACTAGCTGTGTAGCATTTAGCATAGCTTCCCAGTGATTAGCCAAGTCATGATGTAGCATGGCAAACTGCTAAATTTCAGGGTGATTTTTACATTAATTAATAAAATGATAGCTTTAGTGTAGTTTAGTGACGTTTTAGTGTAGTAGTGACTTTTTTTGTAGCTACAATAGAACAATTATATAAACTGTGGTAGTTAGCTAAAAACAGAGGCAGTTAGCTGTTCTCCCAGCTAGACCAAGCATGTTGAGTTTATCTGTTTTGATTTTTTTTTTTTAAATGTCAGCTGGTCAGACTGTTTTAAGCTAGTTTAAGCTGTTATTTTTTTTAGCATGGGAATATCTAAAAGGATAGATAAAATGTGCTTTGTCTCATTTGAGTTATAGGAAGTTTATAGCTTGGTTTCGAACAATGTAGCTTCCGAAACACTGCTAATGAATGCTAATAAAATCGGGTCTGTTACAAAACGGACATTCCCCTCTTCCATGGTCAATAAACTTTCTCATCATATCATAATTTCCTCACCAGTAATTCTCTCCACACAATGAAAAACAAGGGAGTCTTTGCACATTATAATGTTTGAGCTCTCATTGTTTGTTTTGTGTGTGGAATAAGTGTTCATATACTGCTCTATATTTCCACGCTACTGAACACGGAGAAAACGATTATGTCGCCCACGAGAGAACCTGCTTTTAGGTTGCGTATATTATGAAAAGTTATGTTTGTGAGATCAGGGTGCTGAAATTAACTCTGGGAATTGAGTGTCTACAGTATTTTGATGTCTTTTTTATTTATGAGTATTTATGTCACTGTTTCCTGCTATTTGTGATGCCATGAGAAATAAAGTATTGTTCAAAATTTTCGAGTTTGAAATAGGGTTGGGCTGATTGGATGACAGACATCACGATTATGAGCCGGCTTCATTATATCGTTGGGTTATTATACTGTATATAAATTGCGAGCATCTGGGAGTTGATATTAATATGCGGGGCATTGAAATCGCTTTTGAATGTGTGCTCGCTTTTTACTTTGACTTTCGAGATTCGCGATCACACGTACTCTGTGTGTATATTATGGAGAGGCAGTACTTACCACACATTTTATAAGATTAGATATTTGTCAGTGGTGCTCAGGATCTGCAGATCATTTGCTGTCGTCCTATCAGTCATCTGTACTTACTCTGTTTATGTGGTTAGTGAAATTTTATGTACCGTAATGTAAGCGGCTAACCATATCCATTTAGTAGCTCCGTAGAATGCGTTATTAATTTTCTGTGCCTTTCCGAATATGGATTTACTCTTCAGGCACACCCCTAATGCAAAAGATTTCCATTTTAAATAAATGCTGGTCCTTTGATTTTTTTTCTATTTATGAAAGATCTACAAAAATACGAAGCACCACAGCTGTGATAATACATAATAAGAAATGTTTCAAATCAGCGTATTAGACTGATTTCTGAAGGATCATGTGACACTGAGGACTGGAGTAATGATGCTGAAAATTCAGATTTGCATCACAGCAATAAATAAAATTTTTAAATATATTTAAATAGTTTATCATACGTCATTATATTTCACAATGATACTGTTTTTTACTGTATCAAATAGATCCATCCTTTTCAAAAAGTCTTACAGACAGCAAACTTATTATATAGATATAAAAATGTGTATATATATATATAAAGCCAATTTTAAGGTTTTAGACTGTACAGCAAACCACACCTGTTTTCATTCAAGGCATTTTTGGGCAGTCTGAGTCTAACAATGTCTGACTTTGGTGGAATAAGGTGTGTGTGGATGCAACACCGAGTGTGTGTGTGTGTGTGTGTGTGTGTGCGCCTGTAAACACCTGAGTGATTGTGTATGTGTGTGTGTGTGTGTGTGTGTTGTACTTTTGGGAGAGTGTGAATATGTGGGAGACATTCATCACACGTGGCATCATCTATCCCAGACTCCCCAGCCCATGACACGTGGAAGAATGCCGGAATGAGTCGCCCTGGGGGCGTTTTCTCTGAGGAAGCTAGAAAGGCAGAGCCTCCTTAAAAGTAAAATTGGATGAGAAAATTATTAGTTTCACAAAAATAAACCAAAAAAAGCCCCAAAAATAGCAAAATAAGAGATTAAATGGTGTGTTAAGCATCTTCAGAAAGCAATATCAGCAGATGAAGGTTCAGAGGGAGGCAGAGTCTCTTTTGCCTCTTTTGAGCTTATTGTGTTCTCATTGAGATTTTATAGCATGATGTGAATGTGAGGCGAGTAACAGCAAAATGAAAGGTGTTGTGTAATGTTACTTTAGTGTCATTGAGATACTGTTATAGTTTTTTGTTTTTTTAATATTTTGTGTTTTTATTTTAATTGTAGTTAGTTTTAGTCATTTTGATGTGTGTTTTGGTGATTTTTAGTAGTTTTTTTTTTTTATATGTGTGTGTATATTTTTTCTAAGTTTGGGGTCAGTACGATTTATTATTATTATTTTTTTTTTTAAGAAATAATTTTATTCAGCAAGGATGCATGAAATTGATCGAAAGTGGCAGTAAAGACATTTATAATGTTACAAAAAATTCTATTTGAAATAAACTGTTCTTTTAAACTTTTTTTTTCATCAAAGAATCCTAAAAAGTCACGATTTCCACACAAATATGAAGCAGTAATTTTTAGTCATTTTTGCATTAAATTGATCAAAAGTAAAGACATTTATGTTACTAAAGTTTTCTGTATAGTTTTTTTTAAATTGTTATTTCAGTGTTAGTTATTTTAGTACATCAAATTAAACAAAATTGAAATGAGAAATGTTATTTTTGTTTTAATTTGTTTAAAATTTATTTTATTTTAGTGTTTTTGTTAGGTAAAAAAAAAATGATTTTTTTAAGTTTTACTTAAATATAATAACACTAAACTGATACTGTGATTGGCTAATGGCAGATAATGTTACTAAAGTTTTCTGTATAGTTGTTTTTAAATTGTTATTTCAGTGTTAGTTATTTTAGTACATCAAATTAAACAAAATTGAAATGAAATGTTATTTTTGTTTTAATTTGTTTAAAATTTATTTTATTTTAGTGTTTTTGTTAGGTAAAAAAAAAATGATTTTTTTAAGTTTTACTTAAATATAATAACACTAAACTGATACTGTGATTGGCTAATGGCAGATTGATTTGACTCTGATTTACTTTTTTGTGCATTGTATCATAAACATTCAGAGGGAGAAACAAGAAAAAACATTTCACCAACCGCATAAGAATAACAAGCTTAATTCAAGCTAAATTTTCTGAAAACAACTCTTAATATCTATTCAATGTAAAATCATCTTGTTTGAGGGATGTTTAGATATTTTTACTGGAGAACAAGGCAGAAATACTGATTAAGCGAATTAGTTTATCCAGTGCACAAGCCAAGAAATCCCAGCGTGACGGATATCCAGAAAAATGGGCAGAAATAAACAAAGCTTTCTGACATTAGGTGTCATTCTCTCCGTATTGACTTTGAGATTATGGGTAAATAAATAATAAGAGCAGCGGGCACCGGTGAGATGAATATTCATGCACAGTGGAGCCAAGGTGAGACGGCAGCTTCGGTGCGCCAGACTGGCAAACTGCCTGCAGAATAGACAGTGAGAGCGATAAACACTCAGACAGACCGTGTGGTAGGTAAGCAGATAAGACCTAAACAGCACAAACAGAGCCAGATGCTCAGTGTTACAGACTGACATGCACTGTGTTCAAAGGAATTGATTAAGAAAATGACAATTCAGGCATTATTTGCTTTCACTTATGTTGTCATTCTATGTAAATCTTCATGCAGCTCTTCCTGCACAATGACCGTTTATAATCGTCTGTCAAACTCCAAAAACACAAAAGTAGTTCATGTGCTCTGTATTCAAGTTCTGACATCTAATTTAGGTTATTTATGGAGTATCCCTCGTGTGGCGGCTCTCAAATCTCATTCTTCATTCTATATATTTGAACATAGGTGAGAACTAATGATGTTTGGCGTTAATTATGTCAGTCTCAGTGCAGTT